AAAATGCTATTTGGACTAAAAGACTAATGCTTGGGGCCTCGAAATGTCGAGGCTCGAATGCCTCGAAACTTCCTCTCTCTTTAACCAACGCAGGACCTTCTTCTCTTTTTGGTCTTCTCTTCTCTTCATTCTCTCTCTCTCTCTCTCTCTCTCATCTATTCAAACCCCACACCCCACTCACACCCTCCTCCACATTCCCACCATCCACCATGAACGAGACATTCACAAAAACACATTCACGTCGCAGACAAGGAAGGAATTTAAACTAATGGCAGTCATGTTTTCTTTTCTCCTTACTTCGTTCTCACTCCTTTCCTCACTCAAAATACCAACCCGATCGGATTTTCCCTAGAGGCACCTCCATTGACGGTAATCGACTGATGCCCAACAAAGACGATGATCCTCTCCTAGTAGCTCCGGTGTGACATTGCCTTCGATTATAAAAGGAAATCTAACTTAGTTCACATTTCCTTCTATTTTCCTCACATTCATACAAATTTCATTCACATTTAAAAAAAAAAAAAAACTTTCTAAACAAATAGAAAATTGAGGAAAACTAGAAAAATTGTCAAAAAGAAAAGAAAATCAGAAAAATTAAATTGAGGATTGTACTGAGCAAACCCAGATTTTCACTTTTACAAACAAATCTTTGATAATGGAGAAGCGTATTGAAGGAAAACTAAGAAGATGACTTTGGAGAGTGTATATTGCAGGATGGTGGGGCTTCGAGTCGACAGCCACCATTGTTGTTAGATATACTCCGCCAGCAGGAAGATTGACGTCGATGGGATCTAGGAAATAGGGAAGTGAAGAGAGCCGTTTAGGGAAAATGAGTAAGATGTGATTGTGGGACGTCGTCGTTTGTTAATCTCAGTCGGCGTCGCTGTTACTCCGTTCTTCTATTTTTTTCCCTTTGGTCGTCAATGGAGATTTTGGGGCAAACGCTTGAGTCTATTTGCCTCTGTTATGTGAGAAAACACGTCCCTTCGTCCAACACTCACTTAGTTCTCTCTCCGTGATGTTGTAGCTTCTAACCCGTTGGATCTGTTTTTGCCACGTGTTATTATCTTGTTCACGTGTTACCATCATTCGAGCCATTCGCGGCAGACTTCATTCGAGGTCTGTAGCGGGACTGGGACTAAAATAGTTAATAAAAGCTTTGTTTGGGAAGTTAGCTATTTTAGTTAATTATTTGACTTTTTGATTATTTTAACCTCGCTAAAAAAATTGTGTTTGAAGTTAGTTGGCTTTTTTATAGTTGATTTGATAGTTGTGAGAGAAAAAGTAAAATAATTATGAGTTGGATGTAATATTTTGTCTTATCGACTATTTTAGTCTATTTTGTCTTTTAATGGGCAATTTTAACCCAACTCTCTTCCTAAACAGGGCCAAAGACAAAATAAGTTAAAATAGTCAATAAGACAAAATGTCACATCTACCTCATAATTATTTTACTTTTTCTTTCATAATCATCAAATCAACTAAAAAAAAAAAAATCAACTATTTATCCAAACTTTTTTTTAATTTGATTAAAATAGCTAAAAATCTAAAAAAATAATTAAAATAGCCAACTTTCCAAACAAAACCATCGTGAAATTTTGTGTGCAAGTTACATTATTCACTAAATTTTTTTGACATGTTTTTGCTAGGGTGGATAAAAGATCCGGCAAGGTTGGGTTTAGTTCAGATTGACTCTATATAATAAAAATATAGGGTTAATCACAATTTTTTTTTAAGGTTTCACGTATTTTTTTTATTTTAAATTTCAGTGTTTCAAATTTTGACAAATTAAATTTTAGAGTTTCATTTGTGTTTCAATTTATCTTCTTTGTCTATCTCCGTCTGTGTAAGATAACAGGGAGAGTTTAAAGTGAAAAATGCATGAAACCTTGATGTGTCTTTGTGTAATTACTTACACAAAGAAACCTCAAGGTTTCACGTATTTTTCACTTTAAACCCTAGTGTTTTTCACTTTAATCTCTCTCCATTACTTTATATAGACGGAGATGGACAGAAGAGGCAAATTAAAATACGGATGGAACTCCAGAGTTTAATTTGTCGAAATTGAAATACCAGTGTTCAAAGTGAAAAATGCATGAAACCTTAGTGTGTGTGTGGTTTTTTTTTTTTTAACCCAAAAATATATGTATCACTTCAAATTTGATTCGACTTAACATCAGACCTAGGATTATTTTTGATATGATTTATTTTTTAACATTTTTATTTATTATGAAAAGATATGTAAAAAAAAGAGATGTGATGGAAAAATAAGCCAACAAACAACTTATTTGGGGTGTCCCCAAAAGAGGGAATTAGAGTGGCTATTGTGCGGGAAGGCATAACAGCCATTGTTGTGCGACTCGTGGAGCTCATTTCTAGATCTATTTTGATAATTGGAGTTGCTCATTTTTTAAAATACATTTAGTAAAACATACCTGTAAAAAAATAAGTTGATCGAATATCAATAGCCCTTGAATTGCATTTGTATCTAAAAATAATAATGATAAATGTGATTTGAATTATAAAATTGAATACTACTATTCAATAAAAGGGATTTTAGGGGGGGAAAATGTACATCTAAATTCCAAACCTGTCTACCTAATCCAATAGATATAAGCTATTAATTAATTTATATATATATATATTGTCTTGAAGGACTATTAGTAATTGAGGTTACACAACCTAATTTTTTAGGAACATTTAGAGTGACCAAAAATAAATAGTTGGAAATTTAAACCCATACCTTAATAATTTAATTTTTAAATGAGAAATTGAATTTTCATACATAATATATATTAGTTATTCACTTAGACCAAAATAAATAAATAAAATAAAGAAGAAGTTGTTTTTTTTCACTTACTTGTCTTTAATTAGGGTTTATTTCACTTTTTTTTTAATTATTGCCAAATTACCTAGTTAATCTCTGAATTATAATTGAGTTATAAATCAAAGTTCACTTTGTCGTGAATTATCGATTAAATCTATTAAATACCTAAAGTATTTAATTCAAATCTATTTAGTCCCTAAAAATATTAGAAAAATACAATACAAGCCCATAAATATTAAAATGAGTAAAATACCCTACTTAGTTAAGATTTTATTTTAGAAACCTTAAATTTCTCTTATGTCTTTAAAAAATAGTTGTTATGGTGAATTTCCTTCATAAGGGTAGGAATAATTAGTATTTTCTTATTTATCTTGTATAATATAGCTACTTGCTTACCTCGTTTATAATTTTTAATTGATTGTCATAAATTTTCTTTGTTAATTATTGTTTTATTCTATTATTATTTGTAATGAAGTGCTATTATTTAAAATATATAATTTTACTTTATCAATATATATAATACTCAAATGATTTTATTAGTAAACCTGAGAAATCAGGTTTTGATACTAGTAATTTAAACACACAGTAAAATAAAACACATTTTAAATATGAAATAGAAATTTAAATTTTTTTCTAAAATAACTAGATAATTTTTTTTACTAATTTATAATACTCTTGGGCATGGTTTTGAAAACCAGACCGGACCGGGCGGTTCGACTGGTTGAACTGTCAACTGGTCGGGGTTCCGGTCCGGATATACTCTCTAAACCGTTCAAAACTAAAAATCAGGCTATTTAGAGGGAATCAGAAAATCCAGAGGTCGACCCGGAGCCAATTTGCCGGGTCAATAAAATTTTTTTAATTAGAAACTCTTTTTCAAGAGTCTCCTCTTGTGAGGATTTATATGTAAATGCATGTCTTATCTGGTGGATTTAATGTTACTATTTTGAGGGCGTTACACGGTCCGGATATACTCTCTAAACCGTTCAAAACTAAAAATCAGGCTATTTAGAGGGAATCAGAAAATCCAGAGGTCGACCCGGAGCCAATTTGCCGGGTCAATAAAATTTTTTTAATTAGAAACTCTTTTTCAAGAGTCTCCTCTTGTGAGGAATCCCATTAAGAGTTTGAAATTATTGTAAAAGTCTCTACATATTTATAAAAAAAAATTATTCCAAAAAAACTCAAGAAATTCATGTGGGATTCAATCAAATGTATTAGAGGGAATATTGAAATTTTGATTTCCTTCCAAAATTTTTGCTCTTCTTTCAACCAAATTATTTGAATTAAAATCATATGGATGGAATATTGAATATGTGATTTCCACTTCCAAAATTAAAATTAATAATATTTTAAAATATATTATTATATTTTTCAGTAAAAAAAATATTAGGAGAAATATTTAATATTTTTAATTTATAATTTTATTACTTATATTTTTATTTAAATATAATTTTAATATATTTATTACGCCGATTCCGGTTCAAACTGACGGTTGAACCGGTGATCCGTCCATCCGATCCCTTTTTTAGTTGGCTTACTGGTCCAATTTTTAAAACATTTTGGGCTTATATTTTATTATTGTAATTATTTTAAAACCAAATATTTTTTAATTAAATACTTTCAAATATTATAGATTGAATCAATAATTTAAAGACTGTAAATTTTGATTGATATATTTTAAAAATTAAGTAAATTCAATCAATAATTTAAAAAGTAAATAGACAATTTGATAGGAGTAGAAAGTGAAATAAACCTTTTAAATTAATTTATGTTGGGTAAATTACATTGATACTCTTTGAGATTTGGTTCAATTACTATTCATCTTTTGACGTTTTGGAAATTACATTTTCACTTCTGTAGTTAATAGTTTTATTTCATAAACCCCATACTTATATAAAAGGTAACAACTCTTAATAAAAAAGTAGAAGAAATTACATTAAAAAAAAGTAAAGAAAATATAAAAAAAAGAGAAAGTAAAGCAAAACAAAAAAAGAGAGACTGCATGAGTTCAATGTCTTCATTCTATCTAAATAATTATAATGACAGAGAAATTAGTGTAATTTTTTAAACGTCAAATGATATGTGTTAAATCCAAATCTCAAGGATGTAAGCGGAATTTACCCATTTATGTTTTATGGTTTTGCGGTCAAGTCAATGCACCCCCATTTCCTTCTAGCTGATAGGTCCCCTTTCATCTCTACTATAATACTATTGTCTAGCGAGCAGTGAGTAGCAGTGCTGAAACTCCAAACGAGGGGCAAGTAGCTCGAATAAATGTTTAAAAATGGAAAAAACCTGTAGCGGTAGACGATAAAGTTTCAGCAAAACGAAGCGAGAACTAGAAGACCAACCTATTGAGAAAAGAAACAAACAGCCTTTTTGTTGATTTCTTCTAGGATTTTGCTAAGGGTTGACTTGATTCTCATGCATATTCCCTAGTTTTCCTTCCATATTCATCAAGGTATTTGCTCCTTGCTGATTTTTTTTCTTCTTCACAATATAAATTGAGTTGAATATTTGAAATATTTACGCTCTATTTGGTTGGTGATTTGAAAAATAGATAGAATGAATATGTGAAATATAAATAAAATATATTATATTTTTTATCTTCTCATTTTCAAATCATTTTTCAAATTCTCTAATATGCGAGGGATTTGGAGAAGGATTTGGAAAGGGAAAAGAAAAAAGTGTGTGAAATTAGGTGAAATGTAGGTACATTTTATTCACATTTCACCTAACTTTTCCCTTTCCCTTTCTAAATCCCTCGTCAAATCCTCCAACCAAAACAAAACATTAAGCTATCATGTTTATTACCGTCATTTTGATTCCGTATAAGGTTAGATCTAAAGGAAAAAAAGAGATCATCCGATATTTTCTTCCAAACTAAAAAAATAAAGAAAAAAGAAAAAGAAAAAAAAGAGACCTTCTTTTAGTAACTATTTAAGGCCAATAATGTTTAGACTTTAAGGTTTAAAGTAATAATTGTGCTTCTCATATAGATTGTGAACCAACCATTGATTCTTTCTATAATTGTCCACAAATTGTGCTTGGTATCAAGTAGTTGTGAACCAACCAATTGTGAATCTTCCTATATTGTGAACCAACCAATAATTGTACTTTGCATCAAATAGGTATGTTTGGATCTTGGATTGGTTGTGGAAAGTGGAAAAAAAGAGGAAAGAGAAAAGATATATGAAAAGAAAGTGAAGTCAAGGAAGCTAAATGTGTCATTTTCGGTTGGGTTAGAAAAATGGCACTACAAAAAAACGTACTTTAGTGGCATTACACTAGTGGCATATTTTTAGAAAATGTCACAAAAAATGATATTTAGTGGCACGTTTTTGAAAAATGCCACAAAACGACAAACATAAAAGGCTCTAGTGACATTTCAACAAACAAGTGTCACAAAACAACAACAAAAACATACTTTAGTGGCACTACACTAGTGGCATATTTTTAGAAAATGCCACAAAAAGGAAGCTAAATGTGTCATTTTCGGTTGGGTTAGAAAAATGGGGAGGTATTTATGTTGGTTTTAGAATTCTTTCCAAGGACAGGTTTGTAATTTAGGTGTGCCACAAAATGTTGAACAACTGTTTCAGATTAAAATTCAAGCCAAATAAATAACCATATGTTTAGGCTGTGTTTGAAATATAGATTTGGAAAGGGAAACAATCCAAATCCATGCTCCAAACACAATCTAAAGATCCTTTTTCCTCAATGAAGATGACTTTAACAGTTAACAAGTGCCAACACAAAGAGCTAATATAGAAGGGGAAGGGAGGGAGAAGTAATTGACTGAATGAACAATACAATTACCGAAGCAAAGATTGCAATTGATTGAATGCACAATACAATAACAAGTTTATATTACCTTGCTAGTCTTACTCTTGATCTTCAAATCTACTCCTGTTACAAGTTCTGGATCTACGCTACTCCTAGCTATAGAATGCTACTACTAGAAAGTTTAAAAAGGTATAAGTCTGGATATATGGATTTGGGGTCCTTTCTCCTTTGACTGGCCTTGTATTTATAGGCACAACCACTTCTAACTGCCAGCAGCAACACATGAACTTTTTTTTGCTCCTTAGAATTTGACGCATGTCCTTCTTCTTTCCCTTATTTGTTGTATTTTGAATTTCAATCTGCAATAGGAGTGGGTTTATACTTCAAAATATCACATGTTTTAAATTTATTTCTCACCTCCTATAACTGGCTATGATCAATGGCTGCTCCATTATCCTAGGAACTTTTTGGGCTTGTTTATTTTTGTCAAAGGCTCTCACATTTCCTGTTTTAACTGTAATTTACTACCCAACACTTATTGCTAGCTGATTACTGGCTTTCCATTTCAACAATCAAATATTTGAATTAAATGTAGTTGAATTAACACACTCCCTATAGATTGCCAGAAATCATTTGTCTATATTATTGTCGAAGGGGGGTGCTAGAGATGTTGTGGAGTTGGCGAGGAGCCCGAGTTGGCAAGAGCCGATGACAGGTGTGGCTGTCGGTGCCTTTTTGTTTGATGTGGTTGGTTTGGTTAGAGCGGAATTGCCGGACGTTTCAAGAAAGTTCCCACTCGATTGCATGGCTTGAATATAAATTGCTTGTTACTCTGTATAGTTGGCTAGAGAGAAGGGTGGATCCAAATTTATTTGTCTTTTTTGATTTTTTAGATGATGTTATTGGTTAGGAGCTTCTAGTTGCTTTTCTCATTGTTTGTTTTCGTTGCATCTTCTTGATGCTATGTTAATAAAGTTTATTTACTTATCAAAAAAAAAAAAATTGTCGGTTGGTTTATTTAAGGCGTCAGCAATTTGTCTGGGAAAAAAAAAAAATTCTTTTGTTTGGTTACTACCCTGAAAAAATGATTTAGTAATTTCATTTCCCTTTTGTTTCAATCCCTTGACAAATCCAAGATTCAACCATAGCATCAACAGACTTAAGTGGCATACCTCTCTATCTTTACCATGACTTTCCATTACAGGTAACTCACTTTATACGCCTAAGTTCTTTCCCCTTGGTATGTATTGAACCATCCTCTCAGTTAGTACATTAGTCAAAAGACCTGGAAGGTCTTCCTCTACCTCACAAACACTCCAGAGATTACGCCATTGATTATATACTCTCATACTATTATGTGTTAGATGTATGTGTATCATATTTTACTTGATATTCTACTTTTGGCTTGGGCTATAACTACCTAAGAGTCACAATGCAGAGCAATAGATGGAACTAGCTTTGTCCCCCAAAATATATCTGCAAATAGATTTCTAAGCCACTTTGCTTTTGACATGCCAATTCTAGAGAAATGAATTGAGATTCCATCGTAAACCCAACGTTTTATTTTGAGAATTTTCATGGAATTGAACTTCCATCAAATTTGTAAATGTATCCCTTGCCAGAATTTGTCTTCTAATTATTAAATACTGATTTTGCATTACAATACCCGTAAGGACTGCTAGGTTTTCAATTGAAATTTATGCCCATATTTGTAGTACCTCTCCGGTACTTTTAGTAAATGTGTAAGGGTAATCCAGTTTCTTGAGTAGGATTATGAGTGCATCTATCTAGCATGCTTAGTTCATAAAATTTAGTATTTTCAATAATTTGAGCACATTTGGATTGAGATACACTGGAAACTTCTTTTTCTTTAGATGTATGCTAAGATCATATGATGTTATCAGAGGGACTTAATCATAATGATTAAATTTCTGTAATCATAATGATTAAATATCTGTAGTGCCTTTTCCACATAGTGAGACTGGGTCAATATCAGCTAATTTGATCCACAGACTACATGCTCCTATTAGGCCTTTGAAGGGCATTTGAAGGAATTTACCCGTTTCCCACCTGAATGAACCATGCTTTTATCCTTAAAATTCCCATAAATCCATAGTTCTGTTTGCGATTTGCTGTGTTAAAATCAATTGGTTGGGTGCTATCGATCAGAGACCTTAACAGGGTCCTGGTACTACTCACTCTGAATGTATCCTGCTTAGATCACCAACCTATGAAGGTCCCCAAAGGTGGCTGGGAACTGAGCCTTTTAGAACTGCATTAGTCAGCCTTGAACCTCATCTACATGCAAAAAAGCTCTCAAAAGAGTCAGCCAAAATCCTACTAGTAAGTAGGAACACTTTGCATCACGTTTTTTGAAAAACTAACAAAACCTTGTGAAGGAGGGGAACAGGATGCACCAATCATTTGCTGTACTTGCTAACACCAAGTGATTGTTGCATCCACAGAAGAAGAAAAGGAAAGCCCCATGCATAGTCTAAGCCACCATCTGAAAGGCAAGTTCAAATTTAGACATCTGCACAAGCCATCATGGAACATGAGAATCAGCTTCAGGTCGAACTACAAACAGATCACATTGCTGAACTGGCAGTGTTAACTCAGAGAATGAATGAACTAATGCCACTGTCCAAGCACTGACTACTATCCAAAGTTTTAAAAGGCTTGTGCACACTGTCTGAGACATGCGCCTTAGGTGCGTCTTGTACACTTTCTACGTATAAGCAAGTGAGGAGTATGCATATGAAAAGTTTGTTTTAGATTCTTGTTAAACTTGGTCCAGTAAATGATTTAAACATAAAAAAAGTAAAAAATAGAAAAAATCATTTTTGTGACTATATTCTATAGGAAAAATTAAAAAACTAACCAATCAAGAAACAACTCAAAGTTAATTCTCAATGAGAAGCTCAATCAATAAAGCTAAGAATACCAATTTCACTTTCAATAAAGCAAAGCGTCCTTCTCTGTAGTGAGCCTTGAGCAGAAAAGTATTTACACATTTATATTTAATTTTGATGTATTTATTTATTGTTTTAAAATATTTAAATTATTTACTACATATAAAAATTCAGAATTTGAAATGCTTACGCCTCAATGTCTTAAGGCTTACGCTTCACCTCATGAGGGGTAAAACTCTTCATGTTGCGCATTTGCCTTTAAAAATTTTGCTACTATTCGAGGGCAGCCAACTCCTTCAAACATAGAAACAATATCTGGAACCAAAAAATTGCCATTATCGATAGTGTGACTATGGGATTTTTTTCAGAGTAGACATTCAAAAACTTTATAAATCTACTAATTTAGACTTTTCAAATCACACACACACACAAAAAAAAAAAAGAATATATATATATATATATTGTTATCATTATTTCAAAAAACAAAATGTGGGTATAAAAACTTTTATATAAATATATTTTGTATTTATCACTAACATGATAAAATGAGACTTTTTTCTCATAGAAGTTTCACTATGGTTAATTTGTGCAGTAAGTTTTAAAATAAAATTTTGATTGGTCAATAAATTTTAAACAAGAATAGGTATATAAGATTTAAGACAAGAAGTAAAATACATGGATGTATATTTTATACTAGATTATTGTCTAAAAAAATATATATACTAGAGAGAATAAACAAAAACAAAGAAGAATCTATATATATAAACTAAAACCATATATATAAAGAGCATTAATGACCACATTTTCTTACTATATTTTATTTATTGTCTCATGCTTCAACACTATAATAGTAACAAGTATGAGTGGTGATATTCATTAAACTAATACAATATTGACACATAAAGTAATAAACAAATTATGGAAAGAAAAGATGGTAATCCTAACATTAATTGGGTGTTCAATGGAGTGGAGTGGGTGTTTAACCAAGTGAGTTGGGTTGGTTGGGTATTCAATGGAGTGGGATAAGGTATTCAAAATTAGAGAATGAACAATTTTAATATATATATATATATTACTAATTTATTAAACCATTTTTTTTTTTTCACCAAGGATCCTCTAGAGTGAAATTTCTCTAAAATTTCCTAAAGTGCTACAGTGTATGGTTGAGATTTATTGGCAAGTCACATCAGAAAAATTGATGTGACTTGCCAGTAAATTTCAACCATACACTGTAGCACTTTAGAAAACTTTAGGGAAAAATCACTCTAGAGGATCCTTGCTCTTTTTTTTTTGGGTTATGCAACTGCATGCCCCACCCAAAGGGTAGAGCCGCCCATGATTATCGAGGGGAATCCCAGGGACAAGACTCAATAATCCAACACCTTTCCCTGGATTTCTAGCTCAGGACATCTCACCGGCCACTCTGGCCCCACAACCTCAAGTCCAGTTTGTGCCAACTGCTACCCACATTCCTCAGACTCACAGAGTGCGTCAAACTGGATTGCTTCCTACTGTACCACTCTTCAGTTGATAGTATTTGGCATAAATAGATGCATTAAAATGTCCTTGTTGTGCTTCAATGTCTTATGTGATGCTGACGTAAGCAATTTTCACCTGCTCTTTAGACAACAGTTAGGAGATGGGAATACATTGGATTAATATGTGAAATTTGGGGATGCAATTGATACAATTTAAAGATTAGGGACAAAAATTAAATTATAGATATACTTTAGGGACCATTTGTGTAATTTATCCTTTATTGGAAAGAGCAACTAGTGCTCTCGGTCCATCCTTGCAGTTATTATTTCTAACGTTTTCTTCCTTCTATTCTAACTTTTTGTTACAGAGTATGAGTTTCTTGGTGCCTGTTGAGGCAGCAGCTTCTGCTGTAATGGGGGCTGTCTCTGAAGGCGGGACAACATTCTATGGTGGGTTCATGGACAAAATTTCTGCTTCAAACAGTTTGGAACAGATTCATGGAACTCTGAATGATGCTGTGAAAAGATTACTTGCTAAAAGGGACGATTGCCAGAATAGACTCCAGAGACACAAGAACAAGATGCCAACTAATACTTACAAGAACTGGGTTTGCAGGGTGTTGAAGATTGAGGAGGATGTGAAAGATTTTGAAACCAAATTTGAAAAAGAAAACAAAGGTTCACGAGTATGGCATGTTCTTTCACGTTCAGAGTTCTGCCAAGAGATGAAAGATAAGTGTGAAAGAGTTCTCAAACTTTTGGAAGAGAGCAATCAACTGGGAGAATATTTGGTTGATCAACCACCGAAACCTGTAGAAGTGATGGGAGCACCAGAAATCCAAAAATTTCAGACATTTCAAATGCATGTGGATAACATTTTGAATTTGCTAAGGAATGACAAAGTTAAAGGGATTAGAATCCATGGAATGGTGGGGAGTGGTAAAACAGCCATAATGCTGAGCTTGAATAACCACAAAGAAGTTGGCAATTTGTTTGATTTTGTCATCTGGGTGAAGGTTTCAACAGAGGGTAGCAAGGAGAATTTGAGCACAGAGCAGTTGCAACGGGCTATTGTGCGTAGACTGAAACTTGATATGGAAATCACCAGCGATACTTATGAAGTTGCGAAGAGAATATCAGAAGACTTGAAGGGTAAAAGGTATTTGCTACTCTTGGATGATGTGAAGCAAGACCTGAACTTGTATGACCTCCTGGGAATTTCAGAAAGTACGAATGGTAGCAAGATAGTATTGACAACTAGATTTGGTCATGTCTGTTCCTTGATTGTGAATAGGGTCATCAAGGTGAATTGCTTATCACAAGATGAGGCCTGGAAAATGTTTCAGGATATCTTGGGATGCCCAGTACTTAAAGATCATAGAAAAATCTCACAACTTGCCTGGAAAATAGTTAACAAGTGTGGTGGTCTTCCACTCGTTATAAAAATGGTAGCGAGTGACTTCAGAATGAGAAACAGTGAAGATCAATGGGTTGATGGATTTAACAACTTCAGAAACTGGCCTGACATGAAACACGAAGGAATGGGGGAACTGTATAAATTGTTGAGTTTCTGCTACAATAATTTGAACAGTGAACAGAAGAATTGCTTTCGCTATGGTGCATTATATTCTGAAGATAGTGATATTCCCATAGATTGTTTGTTGGAATGTTGGGCTGCTGAATGTTTTCTTGGCAGTAATGATGATGCAGATGAGTGCCGCATCAATGGTCGTAGCATATTGCAGCATCTGAAGAATGTATCCTTACTTGATGAAGGTTTGACCAAAGGATATGTGAGGATGCACAAAATTATCAGGCAAGTGGCTTTACATGATGGTGAATGTAAACTCTTGGTGAAAACCAACGAAGCCTTGCGAAAACCCCCAGATAAAAAATATTGGTTAGAGAAAAATTGGATCTCTCTGATAGACAATGAACTGCAAACCCTACCAGACTGCCCTGATTGTAGTGTGCTTTCCACACTCTTCCTACAGAAGAATTTAAGTTTGAATACAATCCCTGCTTTATTCTTTGAGTATATGGAAACTCTCACAGTTTTGGATTTGTGTTGTACAGGTATTGTGTCATTACCACAATCCATATCAAAGTTGATCAGCCTCAAAGTCTTTTATCTAAATGGTTGTAGGTATTTGGCGGAGCTTCCTTCTCAATTGGAAGGCCTTAAGCATCTTGAGGTGCTTGATTTTCGAGGCAGTGGGATCAAAAGTATACCATCTTTCATTGAGAAATTGATGTGCCTAAGGCGTTTGTTAGTATCATTTACTGACAACACTTTTTCAAGGGTAGCTTCTAATTGCAAAGTGATTTCCAAGCTTTTTGCATTGAAGGAATTGATCATTGATGTGAAAGCTCCTCGCAAGCAATGGAGTGTTAAGATGCTAAATGCTACCATAGAAAAGATCGTTCCCGTAAAGCTAACCACTCTCCAATTCCGGTTTTCAGATGAGACAGTAGATATCATAAAGCTGGAGGCATCTACTACATATATCTGTGTTCCCAATGCAGACATTCTTAGAATTTTCATCAAGCGAGACGACCTTTGCTTTGCATCATTTCAAGTCTGCATTGGTTGCCACTCAACCTGTCCTACAATTCCTATGTCATACCAGTATGAAAGGTACATGAAATGTGAAAGCTTTAATCCTACTGTTTCAGAGTTACTTGCTAAAGCTGATGCATTCGAATTGGTCAACCTCCCTGCTGAGAATCTAATGAAGTTTTTTAAGAGCATGGATCAGGTCCGAGGTTTGCTAATTGAAAGTTGCAATGCAATTGGAACAATTGTGGATGGTAATTCAACAATAAACAGCCCCGTATTGCCAAACCTAGAGCAACTATACATAAAGAATATGCCAATGTTGAAAAGCATTTTGGAAGGTTATTTGCCTTTTGGTAGCCTATGCAAAATAAAGACTCTAGTTGTAAGTGATTGCCCAATGTTGATCAATATATTTTCTCGGGGATTGGTTCAGCAACTTTCTGGAATCCAGCAACTAGAAGTTGAAGATTGCTTTGAAATTGAAGAGATAGTTATGGAATTTGAGAATACTGGAATGGATCCATTTGTGCTCCCAAACCTGGAGAAAATGACACTTCATAATATGCCAAAATTAAGGAGCATTTGGGCAAATGAATCATTGGAGTGGCACTCCTTAAAGGAGCTTGAGATACGTGGTTGTCCCAACTTGAGTAGACTACCTTTCAATAAGGAAAATGCATTGAACCTGAGGTCAATTAAATCAGAGCAAGATTGGTGGAATGCACTGCAGTGGCAACGAAATGAGGTCAAAGAACACTTTCAGCAATATTGCACCTTCAGGTAATTATTGCTCTTTTGGAGATCTTCAATGATAAGAAACTAGTTAATAATGTTGAATAACTTGATATACATTGTTGGACTCATTTCCTGATAGCTTAAGCTTTTGGGACTAGTGGTGATCTAACACGGTATTAAAGCTCAAATTGGGGGAGGTGTTGGGTTCAAGTCTCTTCATTTGCATTTGGTCTCCATTTGCATTCTTTCTTCAATATGTATGGATGTTTGCGTCTCCACGTGCAAGATGGGGTTGCACGTAACAAAGGGTGTTGAATAGCTTGGTATAAATTGTTTGGCCTATTTCCTAACAACTTAAGCTTTTGGGAGAATTGGTGATCCAAAAAGTAAGACAAATAAATTCTTCTTGTATCAAACAAACAACCCTCTAAAACATTATTTTGCACTTATTTGATTCAATTGAATATGCATTTGATTGGAATCCTTTGTTAAGGTTAGGGTAGCTTTGTGAGGTTCAATTGAAATTCTTTTTACTCTTATTTAGATAACCATGGTGAGTGTATTCTAACTAATAAAGGTTCATTATACATTTTAAACTATTCTTTTTAAATTAGGATCTTGCTAGTTTAGTCATCTGCATTTTTAGGCTTTGGCCCAACCATATTAAGAAAGAGAAATACATTTTTCCTTTGTTTGGTTGGTTTCCTTTCTTCTTCTGTTTCTTTCTCTTTTTCTGGATTTCTTGGTTAACTTGGCTTGCTCTCACTCTCTTCCAAACAACTTTTCTTTTGTCTATTTCTCATTTAATCAATTTTTTTTTGTTTAAAACTGCATTGTGAGTATGATGGTTATCCATTGCTAACAAGTATTTCAGCTCGCTTGGGGATCTCTCAGGGTCAGGGGTTATTAGACTTCTTCGAACACCCCCATCGAGCAAAATAGTAATAATTTCAATAAGTGTTATGCCAATTCACCACCTCAACATATATATGTAGATCTTACATGCTTACTTGGGGTTAGAAGTGTCAATTTTGAGAAGAGAAAAATTAGAGGTATGAGTGGTATCTCATCCCTTTTTATATTAAATCATCACCATAATTACAAGAGTGCCCTAAGGCATCAAATAAGAATACTTAATATACATCAAAATAAAATAAGGAATATTCTAACACATTCTAACACTCATCCTCAAGCTGATGCAAATATATCTCTCATGCCCAGCTTGTTAAGAATGTCACGGAATGGTTTATTCCTTAATCCTTTGGTGAGAACATCAGCTAGTTGGTCCCCATACCTCACAAATGGCGTACATATAGTGCCACTAGTGAGATTTTCCTTGATAAAATGTCTATCAATCTCTACATGCTTGGTCCTGTCATGCTGAACTGGATTGTGAGCTATATTAATAGTTGTCGTATTGTCACAATATAGCCGCGTAGAATCTGTCTGATGAATCCCCAAATCCCTCAAAAGTAGTCTAATCTATAATAGCTCATATACACCTTGAGCCATAGCTCTGAATTCAGCCTCTGCACTTGGCCGTGCAACTACATTCTGTTTCTTACTTCTCCAAGTAACTAGATTTCCTCCAACAAAGGTACAATAGCTAGAGGTTGACCTTTTATCAGTGACTGATCCAGCCCAATCAGCATCTGTATATGCCTCCACACTAAGATGACCATGTTTAGAGAAATAGAGACCCTTTCCCGGATAAGACTTCAAGTACCTCATAATCCGCGTAACTGCCTCTAAATGAATCGCACGTGGAGCATGCATAAACTGACTAGCCATACTCACTGCGATAGCAATGTTAGGACGCGAATGGGATAAGTAGATAAGCTTATCCACTAGCCGCTGATATCTTCCCTTGTCCACAAGCTCGCCTCCTTGATCCTCACTAAACTTCCTGGATTGTGAGCTATATTAATGGTTGTCGTATTGTCACAATATAGCCGCGTAGAATCTAAATGAATCGCACGTGGAGCATGCATAAACTGACTAGCCATACTCACTGCGATAGCAATGTTAGGACGCGAATGGGATAAGTAGATAAGCTTATCCACTAGCCGCTGATAACTTCCCTTGTCCACAAGCTCGCCTCCTTGATCCTCACTAAACTTCATTCCAGGCTCTAATGGTGTATCACAGGCTTTACTTCCAAGCATCCCAGTTTCTTGTAACAAATCAAGCACATACTTTCTTTGACATATGAAGATGTTATTTTTGGACCGAGCAACTTCAATACCGAGAAAGTACTTCAAGCTGCCTAAGTTTTTGATTTTAAACTCATTGGCCAAATACTCCTTTAACCGAGGAACCTCCTCAACATCATCTCTTGTGAGTACAATATCATCCACATAAACAATAAGTGCTGTTGTCTTACCATGTGAGGAGTGTTTCACGAACAAAGTATGATCAGCTTGACTTTGTTTGAAGCCATATAGCAGCATGGCTTAAGTAAACCTCTTAAACCAAGCCCTAGGCGACTGTTTGAGTCCATAAAGTGACTTGCGTAGTCAGCACACTTTTCCTTTGGTTTTAACATCCTCAAAGCCTGGGGGAATGTCCATGTACACTTCCTCTTCCAAATCTCCATGAAGAAAGGCATTCTTCACATCAAATTGATGGAGCGGCCAGTCGAGATTAGAGGCAAGGGAGAGAAGGACTCTGACAGAGTTCATCTTAGCAACAAGAGCAAATGTCTCCTGGTAGTCTACTCCATAAGTTTGTGTAAAGCCCTTGGCCACCAATCTTGCCTTATAACGTTCAATTGAACCATCAGCTTTGTGCTTCACTGTGTACACCCACTTACATCCAACCGGTCGTTTGCCCTTAGGTAACTTAGCCAATTCCCAAGTGCCATTTTTAGCCAGGGCTCTCATCTCCTCCATCATGGCATGCTTCCATTCAGGAGTAGAAAGAGCATCCTGAAAATTAGAAGAAAGACTCACAGAAGAAACTTTAGACAGAAAAGCTTTATAGGAAGAAGATAGATTAGTGTATGAGACAAAATGAGAAATAGGATGGTGAGTACAAGACTTAACTCCCTTCTTTTTAGCAATGGGAATATCTAGATCAGAAAGAATAGAGTTACCTGGAGTTTCATCAGAAGAAGAGGATTCTGGACACTCATCAGGAGAAGAAGATAGCAGTGGAGAATCAGAATTGGTCTCTTGTACCCAAGTAACTTGTTTTCTATCCTTGTCCCTGACATGAACTTTTTCGTCTTTTACTGTGGATTCAGGCTCAACATCTTTCATTGCGGATTCAGGCTCAACATTCTCAATAGTTGAGTCACCATTAACATTCTCAACCTGCTCAATCACGGATGGTAATGACACAGGTTTTGCTTCACACCAAGGCTCCCCCTGAACGGATGACTGGGACACCGAGGAGGACAGGAAGTAGGACGGAGACTCAAAGAAAGACACATCCATAGAGACAAACCATTTTCGAGAAAGGGGATGATAACACTTGTAGCCCTTTTATGTGGCAGAGTAACCCAGGAAGACACATCGAAGAGACCTAAGATCCAACTTACCACGAGTAGGAGAATGGTTATGAACAAAGCACACACACCCAAAAGTTTTGGGAAGAATGGAGAAACCAGACGAGTGGGACCCTAACAAAACCTGAAGAGGAGTGTGTTTGTGGAGGACTTGGGTAGGCAAATGATTGATGAGAAAGGCTGTAGTGAGAACAACTTCCCCCCAATATGATCTAGGAACACAAAGATAGACAACGCGCAATATCAAGAAGATGGCAGTTTTAACGCTCTGCAACACCATTCTGTTGAGGAGTATTGGTACAAGAAGTTTGGTGAATAATACCATGAGTGGAAAAATAGCTGGCAAGGCCAGAGTCAATGTATTCCCCCCTATTATCAAAACGCAGAATTTTGATAACCCCTCCAAACTGAGTGCAAATCATTTTATGAAAATTTTGAAATACAGAAAAAACTTCACATTTGTCCTTCATAAGATACACCCAGATGGTCCTAGAACAATCATGAATAAAGGTGACAAACCATCGGTGACCCTTTAAAGACACAAGACGAGAAGGACCCCATACATCAGAATGAATCAATGAAAAAGGAACTAAACTTTTATTAATAGAAGGAGCAAAAGAAGCTCTGTGTTGTTTTCCAAGTTGACACGACTCACACTGAAACTTAGAAACATTATTTTTCAAAAAAATGGAAGGAAAAAGATGCTTAAGTAACAAAAAAGATGAATGCCCAAGACGATGGTGCCACAACCATAGGTCTTCCTTGGTAGATGGTAACTGAGTAGATGAATGAGCCTGCTTGTCGGCTTGATCCAGGATATAGAGACCATTCGCATTTCTATCACTGCCAATCATCTTCCTCGTGATAAGGTCCTGAAATAGACAATGATCAGGAAAAAAAGGTTACACTACAATTCAACCCCGAGTAATACGACTCAAAGATAAAAGATTAAAACTAAAATCAGGAACATGTAGTACAGAAGACAAAGGAAGGAAAGCAGTGGCATGAATTACATCTTTCCCGTACACAAAAGAAATGGTACCATCAGTAATTCAAACTTTATGCTGCCCTGAAGAAGGGGTGTATGTGGAGAACAAATCAGAAGACCCAGACACATGGTTGGGAGCACCAGACTCGATAATCCAAGGCAACGTTTGATGAGATAGAAAAGCACTTGTAGAAGAAGCTAAGTTACCTGAATGAGCAAAGTTACCTAAAGATGAACTAGAGGCCTGACGGTCTAGCAAGTGGCGAAGAGCAACCTCCAACTCAGAAGTAGAAAACCCAGATATATCAGCAGATGAAACAACCAGAGAGGGGGACTGTGGCTCAACTGTATCAGAATGATGAGCTCGGGCATTGGACCCACGGCCTCTAGACTGACCCGAGCGACCCTCTCGAGACCCAGAACGATCTCCATGACCCCCAGATGGCGGCTCATGCAATTTCCAACAAGTCTCACGGGTGTGGCAAGGGCGAATACAATAGCCACAGAAAAGGGTATCCTTCTCAGAAGGGGGACGGGAACCACGATCCCCATCTCGAGAGGGTGCAGAAACCAGGGCAGATCGATCAGAAGAGGCAGACGGAAGCATAGCAAAACGACGACTCTCCTCATTCTGTACATAAGCAAATGCTTCTTGGAGAGAAGGAAGGACATCCATTCCAAGCACACGACTCCTAACAGGATCAAACTCTACATTTAGACCTTCCAAAAACTTGAAGACCCGCACTTGTTCAACAAATTTTCGGTACCCAGCCAAATTAGTGGGACAGACAGGCTTGTAGTCCTGAAGATGATCAAGTCTCTTCCACCCATTGCTAAGGACAGTAAAATACTGGAGGATAGTCATCTCACCCTGGACGGACCTGTTAATGGAGCGTCGCAACTCAAAAGTCTGTGAAAAATTGCCTTTGCGGGAATACGTAGTGGCCACAGCCTCCCAAATATCCTGTGCCGTGTCCATAGACAAGTATCCTTCACCAATCTCCGGAACCATGGAATGTATCAACCAGCCCATTATAAGGGAATTGATAATTTCCCACTGATCATAACTTGGATTTGTGGGGCTAGGGGCCTGAACGCGCCCATCAACATACCCCAGCTTCCCTTTGCTCTTCAAAAATATAGTCAAACTCAGCGACCACGCTACATAATTCTGACCATTAAAGAGAGAGGTGGTGATTTTCTAGCCATGGTTGAGGGAGTCAGTCATAGTAGTAGGCAAACCAGGACTCGCGCCCTGAAGAGTAGGCTGTGTAGTGGTAGACTCACTAGTCAATTCTGCCATGAATACTCTACTATGGAACCCTTACAACAAACATTGGTCTAATCACAAACCTGGAAGATGGGAAAACATATCAAACAGAACAAACAGAATTTAATAGAACATTTTTTTTTTTTTGGAGAAGAAGACAAAAGAAAAGAGAGAGAGAAAAGAAACTACATGAATAAAGGAGCACTAATCACCGAATAAGACCAATGTAACCCAAACCCAAGAGATCAACGACTGAATCACGGAGAAGAAAAATCGACTGAACTCTAGTTACTTGGAGAGTAAACTGAACTAGAGAGCTCTTGAGTGGCTATCGACAGCCTGAGGGAGGAGAATCCACCCGACTGAACCTCCAAGCCTGTCGACAGACCTGGGTTGGGAAAAAGGGGAGCTCCGACTCACCCTTGGGTGCAGGCGAAGCCTTCGAAGGCTGCGGCTAGGGCTTCCGACATCCTAGAAGGACGCGACTTAGGACTATGGGGGCCCTAGGAGGCTGTGAGTGGTCTTGGCGTAACCCTAGGGAGATGGTGGCTGGTGTGATGTGGACAGCGGCTGGGGTGGTGTGTGATGGTGGATGTAGCTTATGGTTGCTAGGGTTTTAGAGTGGCTCTGATACCATGTCAATTTTGAGAAGAGAAAAATTAGAGGTATGAGTGGTATCTCATCCCTTTTTATATTAAATCATCACCATAATTACAAGAGTGCCCTAAGGCATCAAATAAGAATACTGAATATACATCAAAATAAAATAAGGAATATTCTAACACATCCCTCCAGAAAAACTCATGTGACATTGACCAGGACTCTACTAATGAAGCCATATCTATAGGGTGAAGTTCAAACTTTTGGAATACATTATATTTTATGGTCTGAAGTTTCAAATTGATTCTTGAATACTTAATAACCCAAATGTGGGTATTGAATTGAAACTTGAGTTTTGAGCTTTTAGCTTGAAATTTTGTTATTGTTTAAGAAGCCTGAGGTTATAGCTTGAAAACTTGGGTTTACAAAAATTTAAATCTTGACCTCTAGAATAAAGCCTTCTAAATTGAGACTAAGGCCTTGTTTGAGAACTCTCATTTTTAGCCAAAAAGTCAAAAAGTTACTAAATTAGCCAAAAAACCAACAACCCATACAAAAAAGTCAAAAATTCTATTTTCTCTCTACTTTTTGCACATCTTTTCGTAAAAAGCCAAAAAGTCATCCCAAACATACTAGTTTTTTTTAACTCATATTTTAGCCAAATAGCTAAAAAGTTGTTAAATTAGTCTGTTCCCAAACGAGGCCTTAGAAAGTTTTCAAAATTGTGGGAAAGACAACTTGAATCTCAGCTTTCAAGACTAGAATGAAAAGCTATGCTGCAATTTTGAAATGCCTTAGCATTTGAAGTTGCATTTTTAAAAATACAAATGCTCCTAGATATTTATAAATTTTGATTTGATTTTTGAACCTGAGATTTTAATTAAGACTATAGATGAAAAAATAATTTTGGGCTTTGGCTTCTTCAACTTGTAAATGAGTCAAACATGGAGCCAACTCCTGGTCTGTTTGTTTTGGCCTTGGGATTTCCCATTTGGCCTGCAATCCTTGTACATTAATAAATATAATATATACACTATGTCGAGCATTTTCTTACTCCGATGCAACTGTCTAGATTTTTTATTTCAAATTTTGATTTTTTTTTTTATTTTTTACCCAGATGATGGTTACAACTGTCATTTTCACATTTGTTTGTATATATACAAGCACATTAATTTACTTGTTAAAAAAAAAAAATACATGGATTTCTTGACTGGATCTTGATATTGTTATGGAATCGCATTGGGGAATTTTCCCCTGAACCTATTGAATGTTTGACTCATATGTGCTTTGCTTTTCTTTTCATCTTGGGAAGGGTCATGTCAACTCCTGCAAATGCTGTAGAGGGCACTAACAGGATTGTGAAGGAGGCCCCCAGAGACGTGTCCCAGGAAGCACCTTCTAGGGCTGCTGCTTCCAAGAGAAGGCTCCTGGCAGCAGACAAGGGAAAGGCAGTTGCCTCTTCTGGAAATGGCAAGAGGGGTAGAGTGGACCAAACTTCTGGGGTTCTTTACCGCTTGATTAGAGCTTTAGCTACAAGCAAGACAAACACGATGATGGATCTTTCTGTCTAATGAGGGGCAGTTGCTGTGAGAAAGGTGAGTGAAGAGGGCAGTTTATTAGTGAGCCAAAGTATGAAGTTCGTATCAATTTGTGTTGAGACTTGTACCTATGCTTAGTTTGTGTCAATCTGTGTCATTTCCTTCAAAAACTTCTCTGATTTGACTCGTTTTACATTTCTCTCACTTTGTTGGTATGTATGATATGTCATGGTATTTCAAAGACAGTTTTAGCTAGTGACGATCTGTTCTGGTTATTGTTTATGGAAATATATTAGTTTACTGTCCCAGACAAATCTACCCAAATTTTTCTGGGTAGTGTATCTCTGTTCACTGATACACTGATATGGCATTTCACCCGAAATGGAATGTTCTCTGTTAGATCAGCGTATCATTTACAAATGAGTGTGTCGCAATCGGCCCACAGTCCTAGTTCATTGGATGGAGGACAGGCACAACATCAATTTTGGAAGGAAATTTGGCACCTCGGCCTACCTAGAAAGATCAAGGTATTTGCTTGGAAAGCCTGTTTGAACATTGTCCCAACCTGAGCTTTATTGAGGCGCCAAAAATTACCGATTGATGAAAATTGTGCACTGTGTGAAACAAAGGTTGAGACCTTAGTGCATTGTCTCCGAGATTGTGTATTGGCCAGTCGGGTTTGGGACCGCAGTCTGCTGCAATTGGAAGTATCACGTGGGCATGCTCTGATTTTCTACATTGGGCTTTGGAGGTTGACAATCTTGTTGATGAACATGGTTTGGAGTTCTTTTTTGTGCTATGTTGGGATTGTGGCTTGCTTGCAATCAAGTCGTCTTTAGTAATCTTCACTGACCTGCTGACGACATGGTTTTCTGGGTTTGTGTGCTTGTGCAAGATTTTGGTCAAGTGCATAATCGGGTGGAAGGGGTTGCCACAACCACACCTATTGTTCGTTGGTTGGTGCCAAGGGAGGGCTTCTACAAAGTGAATTTTGATGCTGCTGTTTTCTCCAACCAGAAATTGGTTGGAGTCGGAGTGATTATTCGAGATCATGTGGGGAAGTGATTGCTTCATTGTCGGAAAAGATTCAGTGCTGGGGTGAGGCTGATTGTGCTGAGGCCCATGCGGCGTTGTGAGCTACAAATTTTGCCATAAAAACTGGGACTCTGATATCCACCTTGAAGGCCATTCACTCGTCACTCGGCACTATTAAGGCCCTTCAGATGGGAGAGTTCTTCCTTTCCCCCATGGCCATCTGTTACAGCAAACTTTTGAATTGTGTCGGAGCTTGTATGCATTGAAGAGGTTCCGCCAAATTTGTCCGCCTTAATTCTTTCTGAATCTTTGTAACCTGCCTCATGGCTTTTCCCATCTAAAAAAAAAACTGTTAACAATATCAACTTATCCCATTCAACTATAAAAATATTTCACTTTTTATCCCTTTAAGACCCTCAGGAAGACATAATTTTTATACTTGAGAAGGTCAATATTTATGGAATCTTGATATAATTAGCCATAATTTTTAATCAATGTGTTTACTGTCAAGATCTCATTGCGAATAAATTAGACAGTTGTGTTTTTTTTTTCATTATTTATTTATTTATTTTTAGCAATGATAAATTAAAGGAAAATTTATCCATAAATCGTATATGGAGGAATGTTGATACATTTAGTGTAACGCTCCCAAAATAACATAAATAATCCAACTCATAAGAGAAATGAATATAATAGAATTAATGCTTTTCCATTCATTAGAGTTTGTATTACAAAGATATTACATGGATTATACATTCATAAATATTCATCCTGAATCTATAGCATGTAACACCAGTTAATGACAACAAAATAAATGCCTTATGAGTTTACATCTTTTCAAGGCATTACTTGATTAAAACAAAAGAGAGCTTCAAGCTCCTGAGTCCTCTCAAGCTATGTCCTTGGAGGAAGCATGTCACCGGTACCTGAAAATGGTTTTCCAAGTAAGGGTGAGTCAAAACCCAATAGAAACAGTCTATCACAATATATGAGGTTTAACTAAGATATAAGTGTCAGATAAACGTTCAATATTATATCCAACATACATTCTTCCCGTGACCATTCAATATTGATATTCACATCTCAATCCATTTCCATTTATTTATTTCAAGTTAATTTATTTCATTTCAAGTCATATGCCAAGTGTATAATTTTTCCAAATAACCCAATCAAGACTACAACTCAGTGGTTCTCAATAAACATAACTATCATACAGACACTTCAACCTTGCCATTTTACGGAAATTTCGTCCGCGGAATTGGCATCCATGTATACATAAGATTTCAGGACTTTCACCCTGGACACTCTGACCAACTTAATTTCAATGGAGTCCATCCCTTATCGTCTTTCAAATATGGAGTACATCCCCTTTCTCCTCCCAAAACATTATATATATACAATGAATTTAAAAGCATCGTCATATTCAATGACTATCAACTATACATACTCAATATCTTATCATACCGTCATATTCAATGACACAATTTAAAAGATTAGTTTCAATTCACCAAATTCTCATGCAATTTCTACAACAATCATAGTTATCCTCCACCGATAGCCCAATATAATTATTTCTAAATAGATATACAATCTTCATAACAGATAATTCATCAAATTTCCATAGGTGAGTGATTAAACAAATCCAACTACACCGTTCATTCATACATCCTCCCAATTTCACATTTCTCATACCAATTCCATTATTTATATAAAAAAATTATTTAAAACATATTAAGGCAAATTTCTCCCTTTTTCAAATATCAATCCAAAGGCTAAATTCCACCATTCTAACACAAGAGAACTTCACATTCAAGACCCCATATTCATTTATGTAACCCAACATGGAAACCCCTCTTTTTAATTTGAACCCAAACCCTAAGTTTACCCAAATTACTTCCAAATCTCACCATTTATACATTACAACAAATAGTTAGGTTAAAGATCATATTAAGGTGTAAAATATCCCTACCTCAAGTGTAAAAGCCCAAAGGAGAAGTGGAGAAACTTCAAAAGTGACGAATTCAAACTCTATTATGATGTAATGGTAGCCCTTGAGGTGTTCCACCTTTTTCTCAAAGGGAGTAGGATAGAGAGACCCTTAGATTCTAGGGGATTTTTAGAGAGAAATTGGTTTTTAAAGAGAGGAAGAGCCGATCTAGGGTTTTTTGAGTAAAAAGGAGTCAAAAAATGAAGAAGAAAGTGCTACTGCGAACTGATATACGCGAGGCTCGCTCGAGTGACCAGACACAATAAGTGACCTCGTTTGAGCACAAAAAGCATCGCTCGAGTGCAGAATACATACCTTCAGAAGTTTTACAGACGCACACCATCGCTCGAGTGAAGAACATTACTCTCTCAAAATCTTTGTAGCCCTGCAAAAATGCTGGAAGCACACAAAGCTCGCTCAAGTGCAAGAAGCCTCGCTCGAGCGAAGAAGCAATTTTCTGGACATCAGCAACTTGAACGACTAGCAACCAACCTATCCCAAACATGCCCAAGACACTCCAAAACTCCAATTCAAAGACAAAAGAGGGAAAAAAAGACATGGATAATAATATTAAACTACGAAACCCGAGTCCGGAATATAACAAAGGTTGGGTCAAAACTAGTCCTGTAAGTTTTCTGATGGACTGATTGGTCCCGCTTGGTTTTGGGAATGTGGATCTCTTTACTGGAATGCCCTTTTGGATGATTTATTTTTGGGAACAGTTCGCTACGCGAGTGGATTTTGGTGCGTTAGTTGTGAAAGATATCATTTTGAGTGGGATTTTTTGGAGTGTATCACGGTGGATGTTGGTTTTAACAGGTTGGATGTTTTAGTGTGGTGTCAGATAGTTTGTGTGTTGTAGTAAAGGGAGATATTGGTGTTTTTTTTTGTCTGGTGTTGTTTTGTTGGAGACGGTGCTGTTGCATTTTATTTGAGTATGCCAGAATGACACAAGGTTTGTTAATTTCCGTTGTTTTTTTTTTAATTTTTAAATTACTGCTTGTGATATGATTGTTTATGTGGATGGTTGTGAGTATTGTTATTGTTGGGTTTCATCTGCATGCCATTCGTGTATGCTAGTAATGTTGATTTTGGGGATTTTCTATCAATCCATTTACATTGTAGACGTGTATATGTGCGTTGGGGCGGTTTTGGTTATCTATGGGGATTATTTCTGTATTTATTCACTAAGTAAATGTGGTGGTGTACATCAAGTTAAATGGATTGGCTTGTGGGTCTCAGCAATTTACATTATCATAATGCTTTATGTCTCAAACTGTGCTGGGTATGTGTTTGTGTAATGAGCAGGTATGGATGCCACGGTTTTGTTGTTACGCACGTACGGACAAACTAATGCCATTGTTCGGTTGCATCGTGCCTCTACGTTCGACGATATAGTTGATGTTATTTGTGGGAAGTTTGATGGGTTGGTTTTGGGTCTAGTTTTCATGTTGTTCGACATACTTGGTCATAATAAGTTTAAGGTGGATTGCGATGATGATATTCAAAACATGATATGTCTTGCTAAGTCATTCGAACTCGAACATATAATTGTACTCATTTAATTACGGGGTGGTGGGTCTGCTGATGACCGTTGTGTGGTGGGTTGTTTGGAGCATGATGGAACGACTCCAGTTGTTTGGTCGATGTTCAATATGGATGACCAGATAGATTTGTTGCCAACGTATTGCCCTCACAAATTGAAGCATTATTTGTCGGTTGAGTGGACATATGGTATTACGTATGTGGGTCAATGTTTTGTGAGGGAGGGTTGCAAATGAGTTTTGGACTGTGCTTGCCAAGTTTTCTGTTGAATGTGGCTTTCAATACCAGTATGTGAAAAATGACTCAGTGCAGATTACAGCTGTTTGCAAATTTGCATTATCATCCGAATGTTCATGGTCGGTACATGCAAGGGTGTTACCATCTAATGGGGTTTAATGTGTTAGAAGGTTCGATAGTATGCACACTTGTGGTGCTGTTGTACGGACGTATAGGAACCTGCGTACCGGCTCTGAATTGGTGTCTGATGTGTTCGTGGACCGGGTTTGTGCCCAATCGTTAACATGCTGAATCGATGTGGTGTTTGATATGAAGAATGATTATGGATTGGATATTAGTTATCGAGTTGCATGGTTGGGGTAGAGAAGGCAAATGGTATAGTTTATGGGATCATACCATGTCATTTGACTAGCTTAGGTGGTACAGTGATACAGTGATGGAGAAAAATCCATACAGTTACATCAACCTCGAATTTGATCACAATTTCAGAAGGTTTGTTAGATA